GGGTGTGGGGGGTGGGGGGTGCGCGTGCGCCCGGTGGCTCCAGGAGTCCCGTCAGCCCTCTGGTGCCCGGCCCTCCGTTCTAGGGCGTCTACGTGGGCTGCCTCTATCTTGGAGAGGCCCTTCTGTCCCCTCATCCCATCGAGCTGTCGTTTCTGAGCCCAGAGGCGCCCCGGGCTGAGGCCGTGGTGAGACTCCTCAGGGCACCGAGAGGTCACTGCTGACCTTCAGGCCAAATCCGGCCGCCTCGGCAGAGCCCGGGCCGGACCAGGACTCGGGCGCCTGTCGACACAGCTGCGACATTCACGGCGCTTCCTTTGCTGAACTTTGGTGGAATTTTGTTCCCCTGTCACCCCTGGGTGGTGGGTCGGTAAAGCCACACCTCGGAGTCCCCGGGGGTGAAGACGGTCCACGAGGGTCACGGGCCCGAACCCCGCCCGGCCCCCGCTCTCACATGGCGGGCGTTGCGCTGAGTCACTGCGCGGAAGGCAGGGCCCTTCTCTTCTTCCTGTCCCACCCGTGGGTGTCAGGTCGGCGTCGCGTGATCTAGACGCCAGTTCCCTGGCTCTGTGGCGCCGTCTCCTCCCCCGGGGCTTTCTTCCCGGTACAGGCTTGTCACTGTCAGCATATTCGGCCTGCCAGGAAGGGTGGTCCCTGGACCAGGGGCTTCATCTGGAACTTGTTAGAATCCAGCGGCATTCTAGAACGTTCCACGATGCGTAGAATGCCTCCCCAGAGACCCAGTTTCCCAGGTGGTTCTGGTGCAGGGCAAGCTTGCAAGCCGGTGGCCTACAGCGTCTCCTCGATTTTATTCTGTGACGAGGCTGTGGACTTGGGGCAGGCGCTGTGTTTCCCCGAATGCAGCATCAGTGTGCCCTTCCCGGGTGGCCCCTCCAGGCCCTCTCCCCGGGGTACCGCGCTCCCCTAGGTCCCCTCTGCCGAGTCCGCCCCTGTTACTGCGGGTGTGGGTTTGTCACTCAGGGAGGGACACCGAACGCCAGCCATCTGCGCAAGCCCCTTGGACATCGCTGTGTGCCCGAGGAACGTTAACTAGCCCGTCATCATGTCTCGTCGCTAGAGGAGATTTGCCGCACACACAGTTTCACTTCTTGAGGGGGAAGGAGCTTGCATCACACTGGCCGACTCGGTGGGAGTGAGCGATGCCCGTGGCTCGGAGCCCACAAGCCTAGCCGCCGCTCCCTCCAGCACCCCGCTTTCCAGTTCGGCGGGGACCTATCCTGTAGAAGCGCGGCAGAGTTATCCTGTCACTGGGAGTGGAGCACTCCTGGTCTGGTACCACCTGGTGCTCCCGTGAGTGGAGATCCCGTCGCAACTGAATGCTTCTGCTTTGAATTTGCTGTGTGCACCTATGTGAAACATTTTAAAATCTGAATTTCACATTTTGTATTTTCCATTGTAGTGCAGGAAAAATGATGACGGGGACACGACAGTCGTTGTTGAAAAGGACCATTTCATGGATGATTTCTTCCATCAGGTGAGACTCATTTAATGAAACCGAGTCAGGCTTTTTCCTTTAAACATGGTTATACATTAACATCACCGCGCATTTGTCACACTTGAAATAATAAACTAATGTTACAAGTCGCTGTTGGAATTACATACATTCTCTAGCGTTTGCAGCGCTGTTAATGTTGTTAGTGGCAGGCCGTCAGCCTCGGGCAGGCGGGAGTGGAGGGCTGTGGCTGGGGCGGGGGGGGCCCCTCTGGGCCCCGAGAGGTTTCTGCATGCAGGAGGCTGGCACGGGGCAGGAGCTGGCCTGGGACTGTGCCGGATCATGCCCAGCTCCCTGCGAGGGCCCGCCCGCCCTGGGGAGGGTTTTTAAGTCATCCCCCGCCCAAGAACCCTGGGTCCTCCGGAGGGTGGCGTCCCCAGGGGAGCCTGCGTGCCCGTGTGCTTCTCTGCCACAGGGCGGGATGAATGTCCATGTGCTGACCGCACGCGTCACCGAGCCTGTGCTGCGCGTTTCCAACCTGGATCATGTCCGAAGCCCCCTCCTGGGCAGTTCCCGCATCTCAGACACCAGGCGGTGGGTCCAGGGGGCTCTGCCGAGGCCCAGTGGGCACGTCCTCAGGCCCCCGCTCTGCCGCGGCCCGCTCCCAGGCTGGCCTCTCCCGACCCAGGGCCACCGCCTCTGGAGCCGCGACCCCGGGGTCCGGCCTGCGCTCTGTGCCTCCTCCCGGCTTCACTCGGGCCCTTCCCTCTCCCTCAGTCCCCAAGGCTGGCCTTAGGCTCAGGCCCTGGTCAAATTCTTAAATCTAAGAGTTGATCAAATTTTGCATAATTTAAATTTTTGAAATTGAGTCACACAGAAAGTATTTTGACTTTGTTAAACATGAAGAAAAGAAACGTGTTCAGCATAATTTTTAATGATGAAAACGTCACTGGCAGGATTCGTTTTGATTGTGCCAAACCAAGCCTGATGATTTCCGCTGACTCTTAAATCCATCGATAGTCTAACCTGGTCTGTCAGTGTGTGGACGTGACGGTGGGTAATGCGTTAATACATTACTTTAAAAGTTATCAGTCTTCTAGATTTGGCCAGGATTTATTGGCTAGTGTGACTCTGGTCGCCGGGCTTCAGGAACTTATGTTTAGTTCCTAATTTTATCTACAGGAAAAACCATGGGCTTACGTTGTCAGATATAGGAACTTGCTGTAACGGACAAAGGGGTTCAGATACTGGACTTCCTGATGTCGCTTTGGAAGTGACACTCCACTGCTTGAGGCCCCTGCCTGCTCCGGGCCATCGTTTTTCTGATTTCCCACCCGCACCGGCTCTTCACGCGCCGTTTCCGCTGCGGAAGACCCCTCACGCTGAGCGCTGCAGTTTGGGAGAATCGCGCACAGCACATCGCTGGGTGCGCCCCACTGTCGTCTTTGTTCACCTGCAGCCAGCCCGCTTGGGGAGGCAGGTGGCTCGTGGCGGGAGGTCTGAGACCGACCCAGCCAGCTCAAGTTCAGGCTCCCATTTGTTAAGTAGCGGATTTGCTTTACAGTGAATTTCCGTGAAATGACTTCTCACACAGAGGAGCGAATGATGTTTGTTCATACAAACTTGGTTTTAGAAAACGGTGTTCGGGTCTTAAGTGTCACAGAACGTTGCAGGACGCAGGAGCTTGCACACGACCAGTGTCTGGTTAGTGACCTGGCGGGTGGCCCGGGCACCTCCTCTCTGTGAGGACGATGTGCGGTGGACAGAGAGACCTGTGCCACGTGACCGGCAGGCGCACGTGGCGCCGGCAGCACTGCTCCCCGTTGCCGAGCCAGGGGCCGGCAGTGTCCTCTCCCTCCGGCCCCACTGGGCGTCTGCGACAGATGGTGGCAGCTACAGCCACATCCCTTCTGCTCTGCGACAGACAGCGCAGTGAGCTGCCTTCAGTGCTGCGCATCGGAGACAGCCGGCTGACACGCGGGCTGTGCGCCAGGACCCACGGGCCGGGACCCACGGGCCAGGACAGGACCCACGCGCCAGGACCCACGCGCCAGGACCCACGCGCCA